GTTTTTAGCAGTTTCCCTGGAAAAACAGTATAAATTTTGTTGCCATGCGATATTAAGTTCCACGCACATTGGGCTTAAATGCTGCTTCTAGGGGTTTTTTTACGTTTTGCCTGTAGAAGCAGCTCAATGTTATCCGATGGGTCCATACACATTAGGAAGTTTAAAGGCATGTTTTAAGCTTTGCATAGAAGAAGGAGGAAAAAAAACTGGATTTTGATTTTGAGAGTTGAGAAAAAAACACTTGTACAAAAATACTCTGTATGAGTGTTCTTTTTTTCTACCAAATTTAATCCCATTGTGCATTGACCCTAACAAGAGAAGTGCAGGCAGTGCACAGAGTTCATTTTTTAAGTGTACAATTAGAAAAGCTATTTAAATGTCGGTTGTTGTTGTGTTTTTTTTTTTTTTTTTTTTTTCTGAACGTATTCAAGAAAGGCAAATGAAATTTTGTGAAAAAAAATTATACTCAGGTGGATGCAGCATCAATCCGATGCTGCATCTGTGTGTCCGCGGGACTGACAGTCTGGCTCTCTGTTTTGCCCCTCCAGCACTCCCTTGAGCGCTGGGCTGTGGAAGGGGCAAGAGGTGCTGGTTCAGTCTCTTGGTGGATTGCCGAGAGGCTGAGTCAGGGCCAGTCCAGGCTTCTGGATGAATGGTCAGGATCTTTTCAGAGCCTGCACCAGCTCTGTGTAAACAGATCAGAGGAGTACAGAACAAACTGCACTCATGTTCACTTTGTCTATTAAGGGCAAAGTGCCAGTGTCTTATTGATGGATAACACCAAGCGTAGTATATAATCCACACTCCCTCCACGCTGTGATCAGTTGTGTATTTATATCTTTTTTTTTTTTTTCTTTTTTTTTTTGTGGACTTTAGCTTTCAAGCAGAACTCCAGTCAAAACTTTTATTTTCCAATGCAGTGGGGCTGTGCCTTCAGTGCATGGGTTAACTGCTTGTTGTGTCCAGGGGCTCAGGGAGAAGCGATACTTACCACGTCCTTCAATCCACTACACGCACCTTAGCGAAAAATAAATATATGTACATCTTTATCTGCCCAAAAAAAAGTGCATTTTATAGTTGAACTTATCCTTTAAGTTTAAAGTATGCATATAAATCTCCTCTTGTTGCCCTTTTCCCTCTGATTAACATGCAGTTAATATTTTTTTTTTCTAATCAAATTTTTTTTTTTCGAGAAACACCTCTTTTGAGACCCATTGACATGTTTACTGGGTCTTACTGCTTATTTTTGAAGTGTAGTAGTATTGCATTTGATGGGAAGGGTTAGAAGGTTCCTGTAAGCATCATAGCACCCTGCCTCAAGTGTTAAATGAAAGAACACATCCCCAACATCCTGTTAGACCTGCATGCTCTTACCTAGTGGCTGGTGCAGACTTTAGCTGTGCAATCTGCTTATCTGTTGTTTTATTATACTCTGAGTGTGCAGTGTCTTCTCTCCAAATAGAGTAAAAACAGATGAAACCGCTTCAACTTGTGGTTATGGGCCATTCCCTTTCACACTTCACACCAGTTAGTTGCGTTTTCTGGCTGTTTTCACACTGTTCCATTGCAAAAAGTGGTAAAAAACGCACATTCTTCCCTTTTTTCAACTGAAAACTGATTAGTGCGAAAGGGCCCCAAGATATTTTTTCACATTTACCCACTTGCTCTCCAGAGGATTTACCTCCCTTCCTAACCACGCAACTAGGATTGTTTTTACATGAAAGCTGACCACCAGCTGAAAAAAAGGTACCAGAATGATTCCTGTAGCTGCAGGCACCATCCTGGTATAACCCACTCAAAATCCAGCGACGTACCAGTACATTGCTGGTCCATGTTGGGCATATATGTTAGCAGAGAACACTGGCATATGATGAATTGGCTCTGTGGATCAACATGACCGCAATTCATTCTTTTCTCTAATGCCTATGTTGAGGGTTAGGCTCAAAAGAGTTTTAAATTCAGAAACCATGATAGGTGTCCATGCACATTGTCTGGAAAGAGCTGAATTTGGGTGGTCGCATAGTGATCATATGATTACCGGGTCCTGGTCATCGGGATCTTCATTCTACTGTGTCCGCTGGACACAGCAGCCGCGAGGGGGGAGCGATGCATGCCCGCTTGGACGCGCAGCACCCCCCTGTGTTATTACAGCCAGAGCGACATACGGGTACGTCGCTTTGCCTGTAGCTGCTGCCCTGCCGCAGTACATTGCTGGCGGGAAATGTTTAAGGAACACAAAGCCCTGATCTATTGATCAGGACCTGGATAGCTTAATTTTGGCATACAGGTGTTTGGAACCCCTAGAATAAATATTAAGGCTATACTGAGAGAAATATAGATTACTATTGCTTCTATCTGGCTTCCTTACATGGCTGTCTCTTGTGTATGTACATCTCAAAAATAGTATTTCACCTGCTTTAATGTGTAGTGAAAGTTACCAGCAGCCAGCCAAACCATTCTGCTAAAGGATATTGTGATAGATGGATGATCTTTTACTTTGTAAAGATTTCAGCAGGTAAAGGTTCTCTGAATAGTTCATTGCTCTTGGGTGAGCAGCTTGAACGAAGCCCGAAATGTGGGAAGCATGTATCCAGGGATGTATGCCCTACAGAGACAGGGCGCTGAGCCCGATTGATGTCTGAGAGTTGGAGAATGTGAAGGGACAGGGGTAGTCCATGTCTTAACAGACCGGTGTGATTGATATGGGCAAATAGCAGTCATTATGTGAGCAGACAACAGGTTCAAACTAGCGACTGAAGGCACCTGTTAAGAATATAGGCTGAGGCTAGGTCCTCATGCACACTGGATGTTTTTACAGCGGCTGTTTTTTTTGCTTTTGACGTTTTTTTTTTCTACAGCTAGTAAACCCCCCAGCATGTTATCCTATGTGTCCATGCACACACAGACTGTAATCAACGTTTTTTGGCTGGAAAATAAAATCCAGGACTATTGGGTTTCTAGAGGAGTTTTTTAGCTGTAAAAACGCTATAACGCTGAAAAACGCAGTTTTTTTTTTTTTTGGTGCAAAAAATTGCAAACGTGGGAAAACGCCGTTAAACGGTAATGTGAAAACGCTAAAAAAAAGCTGAAAAACACGATTAAACGCTAATGCGAGGACGCTAAAAAAAGCTGAAAAACTCGTTTTTAATGTGACTTTACACAGCTAACATTACCAGCATTATCAAAGCGCCCAGTGTGCATGGAGCCGTAATCTGGCAGTTGATGGATTGAACGTCAGCAGGTTCAGCAAGGACTGGCCAAATTTCAATCTATCTATGGCCTTTCTCATTAGAGAGAGGCCGATCTAACGATTGGTTTCTCTTGTATAGGGATGTTGGAAAATAACAATTTGATCAATGCTGTAGCCAATTGGCTGTGCTGATTGATGTATTCAGACAATGGAGTAGTTGGCCTTGTCAGAATACAATCGCACAGCACAACTTCATCAAGTTAAGATCCAACTTTAAAATAACTTATAAAGCAAAGATGTGTCAGTGAAAGTCTGTTGGAGAACACAATAGGGTGCTCTAAAGTATATTGGATTTATATTGCCTCTGATATGCCTTGTATCAATTTATACCTTTTTAGATGTGTTGATTTTAGCATGTTTAGGCCTTGTTCACACCATACGTGCAGAAAAACTGATGGAAACTGATGTGCAGATTTCACTTGTAGAGACATCTGTTTACATCAGTTCTCATGCGCACTGCAATGAGTTTTTTATTTATGTTGCAAAAAAATATGCACGTGTAGAAAATCTGATCTCTATGCAGCTTGGTGTGAATGAGCTCTTAGTCTGTTTTGAGAAAATGTAAAAGTCAATAGCTACAAATACTGTAACTGCTTATTTTTAACAAATGGACACTCACCTGTCCAGGGATCCAGTGCCGCCCATACCCGTCCAGCTCTTCACCAATCTTTGGGTCCCTGGCATCAGCATGTTTACTGTGGAAATCCGGCTTTAATGCTCAGCTATCTTCCCACAGCACGGGTGTGAGCCATGCTGCTCTTTGTGAATGGCCCGCAGCCTTCTGAGACCTATGACATGTCCCAGAAGGATGCAGGCAGCAAGGACAGGGGACAACTTGGAATCGCCAAGACAATCCATTCGGAGGTGGGAGTGGATAAAACCAGGTACCCACTCCCCCTCCCCTTTTAAAAAAAAATTGCCAAAAAGTAAAAGAGGAGGGGGGAAGAGGGCATAAAGTGGATCTGAGCTAGGGAGTTTTTTTTTTTTTTTTTACAGCACACCCTTTATAAATTGGCTATATACTATAGGTAGCCTTGTTCAACACTATTTTTTTTTTTCCGCCTTCAGCCATGAGAGAAAATCAGTTGATTCTCTCATCCACGTGAACAATCGCCACTGCTGACTATTGTACTCAGGTACCTGTGGCACATGTAGCTCCTTTATTGCAGTGGGGTTGCCAAACAGTGAAAGCATCTGATAGGATGCAGTCCCTGTTCAGCCTACAATTTCCACCAGTGCTCAGTCAAATGTTAAATCAACTTTTTAGTTGAGCCGGGTAGTGCTTGCAGGGCCAACCACAGCTCAAATTTTGGCTGATTTCTGCAGAAACCTGAGCTGTCTACGGCTACCTTTTGGCTAAAAATCAGAAATTATGTTTTAATCTATTACTGAACTGCGGAGGTATATGGATTGGCTCAAAATGTTTAGTAGGTGAAGTGAACTTAACATTGACGTCTTGATCAGCATAAGAGCCAGACAACTATCATTTTAATGGGGTGTTCTGTAAGGGCTGCCTATGTATTTTTAAATACCTAGACACTGTGAGCTCAGTTATGCAATGGTGGATATGGAAACCTATGTCATGCACGTTGACCCTTCTTTTCTGGCTCTTCCTCCTTGAGGAAACCTATTGGATAATCTTGCATACCTAATGGAAGTGGAAGAAGAGCGTTTAACATGCCCTGTTTTCCATCCCTTCTTAGTGTGCCTACCTGGTTGTTATAATTTTTTTTTTCTCCCCCCTGTACAGGAGTTTCCCATACCAGAGTACCGCAATGCTCATTTGGAAGCCACCAGCTATTGCAGCAACAGCAGCTCAGAAGACGGCCATCTTTGTTGTCTGAGTTTCACCCAGGGTCTGACAGGTATGTGTTTTTTTTTTCCCTTGATGGAAACACTTGAGTATTCAAGCATTACATATATTCTTTGTAATTATCTATTTTCCATCATATCAGCTGAAAAGACCATGACCACCATAGAACATGTATTTGGTGGAAGCTTATATACACAAGCGCTCACACTTTTGCTGACTAAGATAAGTGGAGAGTTGCAGGGGAAGCTAATTTTTGCCGCTCCCCCATTCGGACAATTGTCGCTTTGTTTAGTAGCTACAGCAAAATCTGACTTACAGAGTCTATGTGGTTTCAGCTGTACCCTCACTCCTAACAGGCCTATGCGTGTGATAGCTACCTGCTAAGGTGAACACTGTTTATCTTCCATCACATTGCTTAAATGCAACTGAAATTCTTCTGCTGTACGAGCACTTCGTTAAACCACATTGGAATGTTTGTTGGGTTCAACAGATTGCTTGCTAGACAAATCTGGTTTCCTTGTAAAATAAGCCGCCAGCCGCTTAGCCCAGAGCTATACAAAAATGTGCTTTTTCAAGTGTTTCGAAGTATGTAAAACAGCTTCTAGTAGTGCAGCTCGCCTCTTGACCACACCATGCACAAATATTAGTTTTGAAATTATCTCACTTGATAAATTAAGACTTGAGCTTATCATGAGTGTTTAAGAAATGCACATTTGTGAGTTGTGTTATGTTCACTTTTAGGCCTTGATTAACCTTTTTAAATAGGTTAAACAATAATACATAATGTTCAGCTATAACATGCTATAATAACACAATTATATTGGAACAATGGGGCAGAAAATTCGGTGTCGTTTAAATCGTTTAATTTTTTTTTTTAGGGGATTCACACCAGGTGACATGGGACTGCACTGGGAAGCTTGTCCAACATAGTCCTAATGCAAGACAAGGCAAAATGGCTTGCCTCATATTTACCTGGTTCACACCACCATGTTGTGATGGTGTACAGGCAGTGTGCGCTGAAAAAAATGCAGCAGGCATACTTTTTTCCAGCATAAGCAGGCAATCCACTAGCTTGCAATGTGTGGCTGGCAACAGAATTTAATGAAACGTCACTTTTGTGACATTGCAATAATCTTTTAAAAAAGGAACAGAGCAGTGCACTGCAGTGACCTCCCTACATCACACTTCAGCAATTGGTGTGAATGGACCCTAAATCTTGGCTGTGCCATCACCTGCATTGCAGTCTATGCTCATTATATGTAGCCATAAGCATCCTGATTCTCAGTCATTCACATAATCCTGTTAAACTCCCCCACCCCCAGGCAAAACCTTTTGGAGAGGATCCCAATATAAAGGACACCAAAGAGCAGTTAATGGAAAACCACTGTTCAACCAGGCTGATTCTTCTCAGTGAACCGAAGGAAGGAGCTACGAAACAGATAGAGAAGCCTGCAAATTCTTTTCCACAAGTGTCTGCCAATATGGAAGCTCGCATTTTCCCAATTCATCTTTCAGGACAGCACATTAGAGATAGTCTTCACCTACCTAAAACACATCATCCAAAATCAATAAAAAGCACGCAGTCACCTAGTGTCCTCAGTATTTGTGTTTCCTCCAACCTAGCAGGAACATCAGAATGGTTTATTTTCCCTCAGGCCTTCATGCTAGTTGCAGTGGCCTCCTTGGTATATGCTTCCCCATGATTCCAGGACAGTGGACTTGGAGGGGGTTGCATATCTGGGGTTTTCTAGTCTACTTTTGTAAGTATCCTAGTCAATGGACCTTCTCTCCCCATTACCTTCTTGGTTTCCCCAAGGTTCCTTCTCCACCGGAGGAGAAGCAGCTATTCCTATGGGTGCCAAGGCTCTAGTGGAGCTCTCCCTTACTCACATTTATTCAAGCTCGAAATCCTCGGTGGCTGGCTGAGTTCCTGATGATAGATGCTGATTGGTATGGATGATCATGGCTGCTGGCTTACCCAAATCTTTTGTAGGGAGAACTGCATGGCTAGAGCAGGTTCATACTCCACCCCCTCCCTCCTTCCCCGGGGATCAGTGAGGTTGGAGCAGAGGCATCTGGCGTCCTGACTACTTCCAGATGGGGAAACATGTCAGGTGCGTAGGCCAAGACAGAATTCAGCTTGCTGTGCCACAGGTCCCCCTGAATGGACAGCAATATGGTGGTTGGTGAGTATACCTTGGTGCCAGCATCCACAGACACCAGGGAGGGAGAGCAAACAGGGGATGGAGCAGTAGGTGGATTTTCCGAGGAGTATTACAGCAGGTTTCATCTGGCCAGCAAGGTTATGGAAGCTCACATTATCAACACATTCCTATTGGTTTGTCGCTAGGATGGGCTTCCTCACTGGCACTGGCTGGAATTAACAGATCTGATCAGTCCAGGTTATCAATAGCTGTGCAAACAGCCATGAATAGCTACAGCCACAGACAGCCTGTCATTGCTCTGTATGGGCTCAGTGGCTGCAGCTATTTGCACACATCTCTCTGCGCCAAGTGGTGCGTTCCAAGGGGCCATCTTTGATGTTTGTTGGAGCTACATTCTGTCATCCTCTGCAGAAAGGCTGTGAGGTTTCTGAATCTGACTGTGGATGCTATGGGAATTATGTTAGCCAGTGGAGGCAATAAATTAATGCTTTTACTTCTCTTTTGAAATGTGAGTGGCCTGGTATTACTAGTACTGCATGGGGTATTAGCAGTATTACGCTATATTATTTTTCTCTCTTGCACTGCTGTGGAGCTGGTTTGGAAGGAAAAATCAGGAGTGAGTGGAAGGAGAATCCCAAGCCCTGTATGGTGGAAAGGAGTCCTGGAGGCTGTAGAGAGGGTTTAGGATCCCTAAAATCCTAAAAGGCGTATTACTCACCATCATCTGGTGAGTGCGGTTGATGTTGGTTTCACACTGGTGGATGGTGGAAGCACATTTTTTAGGAGGACTTTTTTATAAGTTTTTTTTATGCACTAAAGTATTTGGGAAAAAGGACTTTTCATTTCTATATATATTTTTTGGACACTTTATTATATTTATCATTATATTTGTTTGCATATTTTTTATGATTTTCAATTTATTATCCACTTGATTTATTGATTTGATATATATTTTGTGTGGGGGTTTTGATTTGCGCTGTTTATGGTTTATATTCTTTGGTGTATTACACTTGTGCGCAGCAGCAATTCATACCCTTATATTATATCTTGGGAGTATTTTTCCTGTGCGCTGGGGTTTTGTAATACATTAACTAATATAATGAACAATATTTCAGAGATTGAACAATTCAGCCATATGGCACAGGCAAGGCTGTTTGAATCACATCAGTGATTTTGCAGCAGTTTCATCCTTCTTCTGAAAATGATGTGCTTCTTTAAAACTGGCAGGGTTGAACCTAAACTATTTTGCCTGGACATGCATTTCAAGGTTTCATGTTATTTTGTTTTAACCATTTAATTGCTTTAGCTTGGTCTGAACATATTCTCTTATCAAATTATGAAAATCTTTGTTGAGTTTAGTCTTTTTCTGTTCTGACTTTGCAGGCCTCAGGACAGGAGAACAGGGTATGAACAGCAGTACCATTCTGTGTCACAAAGTGAGCATGACGCCCTGGAATCCAAAAGACCTCGGCTGGAACAGGTAGATTCACACTACCGGGTTGCTGCGGCTTCTGTCGTGCCTCTTGTACCAACCATCCCAGAGGGGCTTCGACAGCAAGCAGATGTTAAGAAGGTATGAAGACTGTTGTGGAACTCATTAGTACACTTCATTCTTGGAAACCAACGAATCTAAAATAGGGCTGACAAGTGCCACCACGTTTACAAAAGAAAACAAAAAAAAAAGCAAAGAGGCCTTTTTTTTATGTTTTTGCTTTGTGGCATATATTTTAAATATTATCCTTGTGGAATGTCCATAGTTTACTTTTCAATTTTTTTTTTCTTGAAGGATTTTCGAGCTCCATATGAAAAACTCTGCTTTAAACCTCCAATAAAACCGTTGTCATGGATCCAAAACACACCCAATAAAGCTGGCTTTATAGCGTGGATGGAGGAATTTCCTGCTGTGGCTATTGTAATCAGACAGTCCAAACAGTGGCTGTACCTGGCTGGATGCAGATGCTGTTCAGTTTTTGATTCGCTTTTATTATCGATGGAGGATGGGTGGTGAGAAGGCCATTCACAGAGCAAATTTCCATTGGTTCCTAGTGTATGGCCAGCTTAAATGTAAACAATATCAACACTTTGTCACTTTTATTTCCGATGTATTACCTGACAGCATTTGCATTCTGAATTATTTACTGCCACAGTGCTAGTAAATACAGTTTAGCATGAGGGAATTGTTTCAAATGATGGGTGATTTATAGGGCCCTAAAATAAGGTTCCACTTTTTAATAGGAGGACCTCCACTCTAAAATGAAGAAATTTTGTTTGCCATACAATAGTGGGTGTTCATGCCAGCGTGCTTGCGTATAATTAAAGTGTAACACCGCTTTCTTTATCGTACATCACGGGACACAGAGCAGGCTATTCATGACTATGTGGGTTATATGCCATCTGTAGGTGAATGGACCCTGTACGACCAATTGGAGAGGAGGTCCTCCCCTATATAACCCCTCCTACACAGGAAGTACTTCAGTTTTTTTCGCCAGTGTCTGTAAGGTGGATGGTCACTGAAAGTGTTGCTTGTGCTCCTGGAGCAGCAATGGGCAAACTACGGCCCGCGGGCCGTGGCGGACCTTTTAATCCGGCCCGCGGAGCTAGGCTCCCGCAAGGCCAGTGGTCGGCAAGCCGCGGCTCTTTACAAATTTAGATGCGGCTCTCCTGTGTGCCGGGCGCCCGCTCCCCTCATGGTGTCTCCTCCTCTCCCCTCCCCTCCTCTCCTCCTCTCCCCTCCCCTCCTCTCCTCTCGGATGGCCGCCCCCCCTCTCGGATGGCCGCCCCCCTCCCTCCTGGACGTCAGGACTCTGCAGCTGTCAGGATGTAGGCGGGGCAGCGTGCGAACTCCTCTCACAGTCCTCCCTGGACCAGAACTACGAGAGGAACGCGCGGGGACCAAAGGTAAGTGAATTGACACAGGGGGGGGACTTACTATTATGGGGGATGAATTACTATATGGGGGACTTACTATATGGGGAATGAATTACTATATGGAGGACTTACTATATGGGGAATGAATTACTATATGGGGGACTTACTAATGGGGAATGAATTACTATATGGAGGACTTACTATATGGGGAATGAATTACTATTGGGGGACTTACTGGGGAATGAGGAGGACTTACCTATATGGAGGACTTACTATATGGGGAATGAATTACTATATGGAGGACTTACTATATGGGGAATGAATTACTATATGAATGACCTATATGGGGAATGAATTACTAATGGAGGAACCTATATGGGGAATGAATTACTATATATCATGGGGGACTTACCTTACTATGGGGGATGAATTACTATGGGGGGCATGGTAATTACCTGGGGACGAATTACTATATGGGGACGAATTACTATATGGGGGACGAATACTATATGGGGGATGAATTACTATGGGGGATGAATTACTATATGGGGGATGAATTACTATGGGGGATGAATTTCCTATATGGGGGATTAATTACTATGGGGGATTAATTACTATGCTTACTATGGGGGAATATTACTATACTGTAAGGTGACATGGTCAATGAACCCATTGCTTGTGCTCCTGGAGCATACCTAAGGTCTAGTACAAGAATCATGGAAAGCTGTGAGCCAAAATGGATGGTACCTGATCCTCACTGGATAAGGAGAAGAATCCTTGGGCTTTTGCCTGTAATGCAGCCTTACGGCGCTGGACCCCGTGTGGATGGAACCCTGTGCAGTTTTAAATCTGACCAAGGCGTTTCCAGCGGGGTGCTATAAGGGTCCCAGGCAGTGGCCCCACATTATGGTAACCGGGTCCTTGAAGGTCTGTATGACAATGCCCACCGTGATGGGCAAAGGTTGGTGCCTGGCAGAAGTCAGGGACCTGCGACGGGACTGGTAAGCTATGTCATTTTCTCTTTGTAAGGAGAAAAAAAAACAAACTCAAATTTGGAGGGAAAAGAAGAGGTACTATTTGTTTGGCCAAAGTTTCCACCAAGGGGAGTGCTCACAGCATTTTAGCCTGGGACATGCTTGCCTGTTTCTGTTTGGGCAGGAGGGAGCATTCTGGTCCCTAGAAGTGCGACCGGCTATTAGCCGTCGTGGGACGCGTGCACGGCGGGGTGCGCTCGCATTCAGCTAGCAATCGCGTGCACATGTGCTAGTAGCGGCCAGAAATGGAAGTTGGCCATATTTATTTATCAGGACGCCTGGGCACATGTGGGCTCTTGCTGCTGCTGGATTCCTGTGGCCGGGACACAGAGCAGGCTATTCAGTGAGGCACGTGAGTACTCCCTTGAGGGGGAAGGAGCATTGCCTAGTCAGTTAGGAGCCGCCTTTGGTGGTCTTAAGGTCATCAATTTGCATTGATGTGTTTTGCATTGAGTGTTTTCTCCAGCACATTACTTACATAGCTATATCTTGTGGTTTGTGTCTACTATTGAAGGTGCACAGTTTTTTTACACTATCTGAGGTAATGTCTTCCAGAAAGCGGAGTGGGGGAGGTGCATCAGGAAGGGGCACGAATGTACCCCTGCCAGGTCCTGAGGAACCTTAGCTGAATGTCTGCTGTAATATCCTCTCCTGAGAGGCCAGAAGAAACTGGGCAATCTGAGCCACTGCGTTTATCTGGCATTGTGGCCACTACTGGGGCATCTGCCTCGGCATTTGTAACCAAGGATGATCTTGCTTCAGCCTTAGCGGGTTTAGAGGATAAGATTGCAGGGATGATTGCATCGATTTGTCAGGTGACTAAGGCGCGGGAGAGTTCCCTGTCACTAGAACCACCAATCCTGCAGCAGGAATGGGTGGAATCTTGAGGATGGGGAAGAACTGGCGGAAGGTCAGGCAGTAGAGTCTGTCTGAGGGGTCACAGCCTGAAGAGAAGCAGCCGGTCTCTGCCTCCCAATCTCAGATTATTAGTCCAGGACCTCACTGATATGGTACAATCTGGATTCAGGCTACATCCAATAGAAACCTCTGAGGTTATTTATACTTCTCTGGGCACTTTGAATCTTTCACAGAGTACTCAGGTCTTTCCAGTGTATCCTCTTCTGGAACAAATTATGTATGCTGACTGGGATCAGCCACCAGCGTTTTTGTTCCACCACAGGTTTTCTGTTTTGTATACTATGGAAGAGAAGTTAAAGAAATGGGGGATGTCTGTAGTGGATGCAGCTGTTTCATCCCTGAATAAGTCTTTAACATGTCCTGTGGATAATGTTCAGGTTTTCAAGGATCCAGCAGATAAGAAACTGTAGTCTCTCCTTAAGGCCTCCTCCCTGGCAGGTTCTGCCGCACAGCCTGCAGTGGCAGCTATTGGCATTGGCCGGAGTCTTTCTGAACATGTCAAACGACTGGAAGACCATCGGTGCACGGTGAATACTTGGCCAAGGATTTGGGGGATGTTGCATGTGCTTTGTAGTGCGGTTGATGCTCTTAAAGATTAAATTCAGTAAATTTCTCGCTTGGCCCTCTTATCAGTGCATATGTGCAGGATTTTGTGGTTAAAGAGTTGGTCAGCAGAACTGCCATGCAAAAAATTGGCAGGTTTTCCCTTTCATTTAGAGCAGCTGTTTGGGGAAAATTTGGACAAATATATCCAAAAGATTTCAGGGGTAAAGAATTCTCTTCTACCTTTTTAAAAGGAGATCCAAGCGCCCTTCTTTTAAGATGTCAGGGACTTTGATTGCTGGCCCCTCATCTACCATGCAGTTGTTTTTCCACACACAGGTCTCAGCCTCCAGGGGTAGAACTCAGAATCAAAACCTGAGGAGGCCCTGGGTGCAAAAGTCATCCATGGCAGATCCAAAGTCTGCCTCTTTATAAAGGGATGCCCCCACTCGTTTGGGTGGGGGGAAGGCTTTTCAACTTTATTCTGGGGTACAGACTAGAATTTTGGTTTCTAAAATCAAATTTCCTGATTAATCCAGAGAAGAGCTTTGTTACAGGCACTCGATCGACTATTGTCTCAGGGGGTGATCACGGAGGTTCCAGCGGACGAAAGGTTTCAGGGGTTTTACTCAAACCTGTTCGTAGTCTCATAGCCAAATGGTTCGGTCAGTGGTGGCCTCTTTACAGGAAGGAGATTTTTTTTTTAGTGTCCATAGGCATCAAGGACACATACCTACATGTGCCGATATTCATCCCACACCTAATATTTCTATGGTTTGCAGTAGGGGCTCAGCATTTCCAGTTCATAGCACTACTGTTTGGAGTCGACACGGCTCTCAGAGTTTTCACAAAAATTCTTCCTCTGGTGTTGGGGCTGCTCAGAACTTGGTGGGTATTTGTCATAGATTATCTAGATGATCTGTTGCTCAGAGGTCAATCTGTGCCAGGTTTGAAGCAGGATGTGGTCCTTGAGATGCAGATCCTGGAACAGCTGGGCTGGGTGCTCAACTTCAAGAAGTCGACCCTGGAGACACATTTCAGGCAAATATATTTCTGCCTCCAGGTAAACTTTGTGCCCTGAAGAACAAGGTTTGCAGTTTAAAAGTCAAGAGGTATC